TCTTCCAATGCAGCGGTAAAGAGTTTCGGGGATATGACGTCACCCTGTCTTACACCTCTCTGCAATTGGATAGGTTTCGTACTCTGGTTCTGTACTCGGAAAGCCATCGTAGCCCTACTGTACAAGCACTTCAACACTTCGATATACCGACAGTCAACTTGGCATCGCTGAAGGGACTGCAGCACCGCCCAAATTTCGACGGAATCAAAGGCTTTCTCATAGTCCACATACGCCAGACATAGTGGCAAATTGTACTCCTCGGACTTCTGTACAATTTGCCGAAGGGTATGTATGTGATCTATGGTGCTAAAGCCTTTTCGGAAACCCGCTTGTTCGGGAGGCTGGAAGTCGTCAAGTCTGCGCGCGAGACGATTCGTAATGACTCTCGAAAACAGCACGTAGACGCGGCTCAGAAGGGAAATCGGTCTGTAGTTCTTCAAGAGAGCGTTGTCGCCTTTCTTGAAGAACAAGACCACCGCACTTTTGCTCCACGCCTCCGGTGTAATGCCACCATGGAGGACGGAATTATAGAGCTTCTGAAGGACTTCAAGTACCGGTTTTCCACCCGCTTTCAGAAGCTCCGCTGTAATTCCATCCTCGCCTGGGGCCTTGCCGTTTTTAAGGTGCTGGAGAGCCATTCTAATCTCGCTCAGACTGACGTCCGGGATATCATCGGAATAATGTCGGATAAGACTCGCTCTTGGATCGTTACTCACACTTGCGTGCGGCTCCAACGATGACCTGTACAGCTGCCCATAGAACCTCTCAATCTCACTCAAAATCTCAGGTGCCCCGGAAAAGATGCTGCCACATTCGGTCTTCAGCTTTGACAGTTGGCTCTTTCTGGCAGACAGATCTCTGGCAAAGACTTTGGAGCCTTGGTTCCGCTCGATCACTTCTTCAATACGAGCTGTATTGAAGTTGCGTAAGTCCCGCCTCATGCATTTGGAGATCTGTCTGTTCAGTTGTATGCTGTCAAATCTGTTGAAGAATCCCGTCCTTCATATCCCGTCTAACAGCCATGAGATTAAGAGTGTGATCGGAGAGTTTTTGTGTTCTTCTGCGGCGGGTCTTGCAGAACTTAGTTCCGACCGCATGGACAGTTTCCACGAGCTTGTCATTCAAATCGTCCACTTCGTTAGAGTCTTCTAGGCACTGACAACGGTTTTGTAACTCGATCTGAAAGGTTTCGGGACTTTGGATTAGAGCACGAGGAGGACGGAGCGTTGACTTCATTAGACGAGACCTCTCCAACTAAACGTTTAGGTTCAGTGTGCCTCTAACCATTCGATGATCGCTGCCGGTTTTCACCCTCGCGACAACTGAGACATCATTGAACAGTTGTCGTCTGGTCGTCATAATGAAGTCAATCTCATTTTTTGTCGAACCGTTGGGGCTCGACCAGGTCCACTTCCTGTGGGGCCGCTTCTGGAAGAAAGAGTTCATTATCAAGAGTCCCTCTTTCTTCATGAAGTCGGCCAGCTGCTGGCCCCTTGGGTTCCGTTGCCCTATTCCAAATTTCCCCACTTTCAGCTCACCGTTCTCTCTTGTGCCTAGTTTTGCATTGAAGTCTCCCATTAACACCGTATATTGGGTTTTGGAGGAATGCATGGCTCTAGAGATATCCTCATACATTTCCTACACCTCCTGATCGGGATGTGCCGAGGTTGGTGCGTAAACCTGTATGACCTTCAGCGAATACCGTTTGGTGATTCTGAGTATAAGGTACGCAACCCTCGTCGACACACTCTCGATCTTTACAACGTTGTTAACGAGAGACTTGTGGACGAAAAATCCGACACCGCCTTGGGACAGATGGTAGCACTCCCGATGATAGAGCAAGTTGCCGGATTCTAGGATTACCGTGCCCTCCCCCTCTCTTCGGACATCGGATAATCCTATAATATTCCAGTGTAACTAGTCTATCTCTTCTTCCAGCTCCACAATCTTCTCGTCAGTCCTCAGGGTGCGTGCGTTGTATGTTGCCAGGTCGAGTCGTCGTAGGTGGCAACCGAACCTCCACCGCAGATTCTTAGCACCCCCTGCCCCGCCGTTACCATGGTCGCCACCGTAGTCAGGAATAGCGGGGCCGCCGGGGACTGGGGGCCGTCTCTTCGTAACTTTCATCATATTGCCATTGTTGCCACGCTTGGCGAGCGGGTTGGCATCCGCAGTTTTTTATTGTATTTTTCCCGTTACCAGGAAGATGCTGCTGCTCATCTTCTGCCTGTTTCCCTTTGTCGCCTTTTACGACACCCACGGGAAGATATGGGGTAATGGATATTCTTACCGCCACTACACGGCCATATATTACTCGGCCATTATTATAACTCGTATATGGGCAGTTAAATATTTAAGACCTTACTAGACGGAACAAAGACTTCGGTCAAAAATTTTACATATATGTGGATCACCGACCACTTGCATGGCTTTATGCACTCAAGGAACCCAATAGTGAATTAACGAGATGGCGGCTACGTTTACAAGAATTTGATTTTTAGTTAATCCACAAATATAAAAACAGAAAACTAACGCTGACGCACTATCCCGTATCAAACTGAACGCATTAGGTTCTGACGATGACACAGATTCGATGCAAGTAAACGTGGACGATAAAGACAAAAACTATTTAGACAGCTTGACCGAGAAGATTTATCGTATAGCGAAGCTTGATAAATCAAATGAGAACTCCGATATAATTACTGTGTCTGACCTATCACCTACCCTTTCAGCTTTTGATCCAATAGAGAACAAACCTATCCCGTCTCGTCTATTAGCGCAGAAATAAGAAAAATAGGAATACAGCAAGGTTAGTTTATTTAGGTCACACAGGTCTATTTCATAATATGGTTTCCTATGGATTATGGTTGTGGAGATCGGCAACTGACGTTGAGAATAAATTTATACTACAGAAAAGAGCAGTATTTATAATTTATATACTAGGATCTCATTCAGAGATATTTAAAAAAAAATGGTGACGAATCTCTCAATAATAAAGCACATTGACACAAATAAGCAGAACCCTATCACTTTTTATTTAATTAAGATATGCAAATTCGATTGTTCATCTCTACTTTATGAAAAAAACTTATTAAAACGTATTACATGTTATGAATACGATAATTATCTTATTTGGGCACTTTTGTATGGTTATTAATTTTTTGTTAAATTTATGACTTCATAACGGAAACTGGTTATTTATTAAACTTTTAACTACTTTAACTCAATTCATGTATTATTCATCTCTTTTATTGCCTTGATTTTTTTCCTGAATGTACCCGACATTGACGTTAAGGAAAATAAATCTATGATTTACAAATATGTCCGTGGTATACTGTTTTCACAAATAAGCCGTGATAGCGAAATTGACCATGCAGAAGCGACAAATTATCTCAATACTAACTAAAACTAATAATAACATTAAAAAATACAACAACAATAGAAAATTATCTATGTATTTTGCCTAATTTTGATGTTTTATTTACATTTAAAGCTGAAAGATGAAAACGTAAAAGCACTTTACAATAAACTTTACATTAATGACATGATTTTTTTTAATTTTTTTATTTATAATATAAATTGAAACAATAATCAAACTTTAAAATAAACCTATATATCTGCAACAAACTTTAAAATAAAGGAAGGCAACGGATGCATTGTCACAAATGAAGGCTAAGGTGGAGTAATAAAGAAAACTCTGCTTTATGTTGGTTTAGAAGTAATAAGGATAATATCCACTCATATTCACAATTATTGAAATGCTTAAGGGACGACTTTGATATTCCCGATTTAGACTATAAACTATTAAATGAAATAAGGCAGCGTACACAGGCCAGACACGAAACGATAGTAGTCTATCTTTCCATTATGCAGGGAATGTTCTCGCGACTCACTCAGCCGTTGTCGAGTAGACAACAACTCGAAATCTTGATGCATAACATTAGACCAGAGTACATGAAAGATTTAGCTTTACATGATATAACCTCTGTAGACAAACTTAAACTTTATTGCAAACAGTTAGAAATTGCGCGGTCGCGTGCGGAACAATTTAGTGAACCTAACTTGAATAACTTTAAAATTACAGCGGACTTAAATAAACAAACGCCGCGATCTCACAGTAAACAAGTCTCTGTGCTGAATGAAGCTGGCTCTTCGAGGCAATTTGATAGGAAATGCTTTAGGTGTGGATTAAACACTCATTTCACCAATCAATGCAATTCGAAAGAGTTAGTGTGTTTTAAGTGTGGATTAAAAGGTGTTAAGCGTTCAGATTGTAGTAATTGCAATTCAAAAAACTAGTTAACACGGAACTATCCAACACCTTTAATAAAAATAGGTCTTATACGTCCAATAATGAAGAGGTAGTTCTGTTTAAAAAAAATACTAGGGATATAAGACCATACTTAAAATTAAAAATATTGAACTTACAAGCTTTTGGCTTATTAGATTCGGGCGCAACTTGTAGCATTCTTGGAAATAATGCGCATTTGATCTTTTTAGAACACGGATTTCAACTCAACTGGTTTGACACTGAGCACTACGTAAGAACTGCTGATGGTACGAGATTGCATTGCTTAGGGTATATGTCCTTACCTATTGAATTTAACAATAATTTCAGAGTGATTAACTTTTATGTTGTTGCACAAATAACTTTACCTATAATTCTAGGTGTTGATTTTTGGCAGGTGTTTGACTTAGGGAGTGACCTTGTATCCGAAGTACAGTTTGACCGAAAGTCGGAGTCATCAATATGTAATAGCATAAATTCGGTTTCTCTTAATAAAGGCCTTGAAGAATACGAGTCTTTATCCATAGAACAAAAACAAATCATGGATAAGTTAGTCCAACAGTTTGATACAATTAACACAGTTAAAGTAGGTTTGGGACGTACCAATTTAATTCATCACGTCATAGACACAGGGGATAGCAAACCTATTAAGCAAAGGTACTATCCATTATCACCTGTTAAGCAACTAGCACTTGAAAAAGAATTGGATAGAATGCTTAGTTTGGGAGTTGTGTCACCTTCACAGTCAGCTTGGAACTCACCTGTAGTAATGGTTCAGAAGCCAAATGGGGACCTAAAGCTTTGTCTAGATTGTAGAAAATTAAATGCAGTTTCCAAACCCGATGCGTATCCTCTCCCGTATATAAGCAGCATATTGGACCAGCTCCGCGACGCGAAATACCTAACGTCAATAGATCTTTCCGCTGCATATTGGCAAATACCCTATGATAGCGAGCAATCAGCTGATAAGACCGCGTTCACAGTGCCACGTAGGGGGTTATTTAGATTCAATGTAATGTCGTTTGGCCTTGTTTCCGCGTCAAGCACAATGCAGAGATTAATGGATAGGCTATTTGGTCCCGAATTTAACAACAAAGTATTCTGTTTCCAAGACGACATAATCATAATATCCAGCACTTTCTCAGAACATGTGCAGCTCTTGCATAAGGTCTACGCAAAACTCAGGGACGCAAACTTGACTATAAACATGGATAAGTCTATTTTTTGCCGTAGAGAACTTAAGTACTTGGGATATTTAGTTGACAAACATGGACTTAGAACTGATCCGGGAAAGGTTGATATTATATTGAATTATCCAACTCCAACTTCCGCTAAAGAGGTTAAAAGGTTTCTAGGCATGGCAGGCTGGTATAGGAGGTTCATTAACAATTTTTCGAAAATTAGTAAACCGTTGAATAAATTAACTAGCAAAAATGTCCGCTTTGAATGGACTACGGAGGCAGATGAGTCATTTAACCACTTAAAAACCGCTTTAGTGTCTGCTCCGATACTTAAATGTCCAAACTTTGATTTGCCTTTTTCTATCCATTGTGACGCTTCCTCAGTGGCTGTGGGCGGAGTCTTAACCCAGACTTATGACGGGGTAGAACATCCCATAGCATACTGCAGTCGGTCTCTTGCCAAAAATGAAATTAATTTTTCCACATCGGAGAGAGAACTTATGGCCGTGATTTACGCATTAGAGCAATTTAGATCTTATGTAGAAGGTACAAAGTGTAAAATAATAACCGACCACGCCTCGTTATTATGGTTTTATAAATTAAATAACCCATCAGGTCGCTTAGCCAGGTGGAGCATGCGATTGAGTCAATTTGATTTCGAAATAGAACACAGAAAAGGTAAATTAAATGTTATTCCAGACGCACTAAGTAGGATTCAAGTTGATGCAATCGCTACGCCAGCAACCAGTGATGCGTGGTATAGACATGTATACGAAGATGCCAACCCTCGCAAATATCCCCACTTCATGGTAAAAGACGATAGATTGCTTAGGTACTCTAAAAATAAATATGAGTTAACGAATGAGTTTAATTGGAAGTTAGTGGTACCCGAGGAAGACAGGTTAGATATTTTAAAGAAATGTCATGATGAACCAGTTAGTGCTCATTTGGGTGTCTTTAAAACCCACAAGCGTCTTAGTCTTAATTATTACTGGCCCAGCATGTACCGAGATGTGAAAGAATATGTTAAAAAATGCGAGATATGTAAACAATATAAACCCGTGAACACGGCTAGACCTGGTTTAATGGGAAACCCGAAGGAGGTTAACAAACCCTGGGAGGCCATATGTTGCGATTTGCTAGGCCCATTTCCGGTTTCTCGCAATAGGAATATTCACTTAATTGTATGTACAGACTATTTTAGCAAGTATGTCATGTTGCATCCTATACGGATCGCAACAGGCGCTGCGGTCGCTAAGTTCATAGAAGAGAAAGTGTTCCTAGTACATGGCGTATGTAAGACTATCTATATTGACAATGGCCCACAGTATGTGTCTAATCAGTTTAGGCAACTGTTACATAAATATAACGTACCGAATATCTATTATAACCCGCGTTATCACCCACAGGTAAATCAAGCCGAAAGAGCGATTAGGAACGTAGTTAACGGTATATCATGTTATGTAGGTACCGAGCATAAACGATGGGACGAGAACATCCCACAGTTGCAATGCGCACTTAATTCAGCCGTGAATGATACCACTAAGTTTACTCCGTATTTTCTTGTGCACGGACGGGAATTCATAATAGATGGAATGTTACACAGCTTAGATAGCCCTCAGCCAGTTCAAAGATCACAAGTAACTCTCGGTGAACCACAAGCATACAGTAAAAAATTAGCGGAATTAGACACCATATTTAAAAAGGTACAAAAGCATATTAAAAATGCTCATTCTAGAAATGAAAAGTACTATAACTTAAGAAAACGACATGTTGAGTTAAAAGTAGGTCAGATTGTATATAAACGTACCCATTACCTATCTAATGCCTCAAAGAGATTTACGGCTAAACTAGCACCAAAATTTCAAAAATGTGTCATAACAGCGAAATTATCACCTTTAGTGTATACCTTAGCCAGCATGGAAGGTAAGACACTAGGTAATTTTCACATAAAAGACATCCTTAAACAAGATGACTAATAGTTTTGTAGAATGTGAGTGATGAGTATGATTGAGTGAAAGAATGTAAGAATAATAAACATTTTCAAAATTCATTTCCACCGGTGAACTTTCTGAGATAAATAAGCTGTTATTGTATTGATGAACGAGCGATACATAACTAGTAGGTCATCTTATGTTGTGAACATCGGCGCGAGTTAGATAAGAATTTGTTCTTTATGTCCGCACTCTGGACATTATATAAGAAAATGCATACCAGCCAGTGCGTAGCATTACTTAAGCTGTTTCTTTTAACTTAATATGATTAAACGTTAATTCACTTAACTTAATGCGAGATAGATATTTAACTTAACTTAATACTTAATATGATTTCCAAATCACTTAACTACTCAACTTAATAAATAAGAACACGTTCGTTTTTCGACTACTTAGAGAAAAGTCGAGTCGAAACGTAAACATCGTGTGTAGGCTTAGTGCACTGTAGGTATTCGTTTCTGTCCCGTGATGTTACGTCACGCACCGCATGAATGGTAATAGACTATTCGCGCGTAGGATTCGGGAACGTAATTATTCATAGTCGGTTGTATTTCATTATTGTAAAAACATGTAGGAATAAATGTAAATAAAGTTGCATGCCATTAGGTTAATATAGGTATAACAATTAGTGTAGTATTTTCTAACTTACAACACAAGTAGGTAAATTTGTGGTAGTGTTTTTTTTTGTGTTAACAACACAAGTAGGTAATTACATTTTGAGGTTAAATTGTTTAGTGGAATATAATGTTACTAGGTATACAGATACAGAAATGAAAATTAGGTAATAAGTAGAGTAATAATGAGCCTTGTGTAAGATTAAACGTCGTAATTAAGTGATTAAGTGATGGCTTGGTACTTGTTAGTTGTTGGTGCATGGGTGACTTGGAATTTACTATCCGTGCGAATGTTTTTAGCCAGATTGGATTAGAGACGCATTACAACTTCTTCACTGTCTTTGGTGTTCAGTCGTTGTTCTGCAGGTGGCACGAAATGTCTTCGGAAAAAGTATCTTCATTACGAAGAACTTTTTAACCCAAGCAAAGGGGATGTGTAACACGAAAATTTTCGTGTACATTATTTTAGCCTATTTACGTTATTACATGCGATGAACAGACTTCAGAGCGCCATCTAACGTCATTAGTCCGAAGTAACTAGAAACGTATATTGACGAATCGAGCTAGCTAATTGCATGCAATTGACCTTTCGTGTTAGTTCGAAATCCTACCACGGATCGACGGTGGCTTGTAGCCCAAAGGAGGCCTAGTTCTTTTTGCAACGAGCCTTTGTAATGATCGGACACGCACATATATAATTTTTTAATCGAAACGCCGGAACATGAATTTAAAGTGACGACTACTTGGGCGTACGGCCCCTTAAACACAATGTCTACGGGCAGATGTGTTGAAACACATCATCCCATAAATTGTAAGTACTTAATGTTTTTGTCTTCTTAAAAGCACATGTGCTCTAATTAACGGTACACGGTGTTTCATAGATTCTTTTGCCTTGTCATAGGGGTCCTTAGTCCTTGGTCCTTAGTCCTTAGTCCGTACTTTGAGTATGGTCCATTATCAAGTTTAACAATGTGAACGAGGCGAGGCAGCTTCAACGGATGGCTTTAGTGGGATTGGGCGGCCAGGAGACCGCGACCGGCGTACACCTGGAGGATATCTGTTGCCTCACTGCTTCGCGGGATTGACCATAAACAGTGTAATATTGTGTAATCCACCAGGTTAGTCAAAACCTCAGTTCGTAGGGTATTTTAAAGTGAAAACTTGATATTTGGAGCTATACATGTGAACTTTAGAAGGAAATAAACTATTTATTGGCTGTATATGTATCTTTGCATTTTCTTTTACTAATCATCCAACAACAGGCGCCCTTGGATACTTTTATTTTGATCTTCGAGTCCCTTAACTCTCCGATAACCGTAGCCGGTGAGTAACGCCCTAAAAAGTGTTATAAAGTGGCGCCCAACGTGGGACTCTTTTATTGACTCTCTGTACCGTTTAGACCGGAATACATCAGCGCACGCACTACTCCTTGGAAGCACAAATATGTAAAAAGGTGACATAGAAGAACTCTTAGGCAAAAAAAGACTCCTACGGAGTCCTAAATAGGCATCTTTAGAAATTTCCGATTAGTTTCATAGATTTTTAACACTTTTACGCACAAGACCCCATGCGAAATATCCAAATGAGTACTGCGAAACAGCGTCTACATACTTTCTTTTATTTAAAAGTTAGTCCAGAAGTTAGCTCTTTATTTACAAGTTGATAAATTAGAAGATGAGTATTAGAGCATAGTAATTATTAACAGTACCTTTAATTAATATTTAAATATTCATTATTCATTTACTATTTCTTTGAAGCACATTATAAGACCACTGTTAAACATAGGCCACCATTTTGCCTAGCAGTGGGGATTTTCGTCATAGTGGGCACGCATGTCGGGCGGGTTAGCATCCGCAGTTTTTTCTTATTATAGAAGTCTTATCATAAAACTGCTGTGACTCATCTCCTTTTTGAATAACATAACTAAGGGATGATGTGTGGTAGCGGACTTCATTACGTCGTCACTACACGGCGATGAATATTAAATATTTTATTACGTTCAATAATTATATCATAATTATTCCAACAAACTCCTTACCCCAATGATTGATGAGGATCAAAAAAAATGTCTGTTTTTTATTTTTATTCAATTTTATTTCTACATAAGTAATTATATTTATTTATACATAAGGGTTATAATAAAGGTAATACAAAAATCAACAAGAAGTATATGGGTTATAGGTAAAGTGACCATACGTCCCGTTTTGAACGGGACTGTCCCCTTTCTCGGTCACCTGTCCAATTGTCCCCAATCAAAGCTCCGGGACACAAAATTGTCTCGTTTTCCGAAACCGCGCGAAAACATATATCTATTAAGTTTGTCAGACGTCACGTCAGTGCGAGAGCGAGACCGACCAAAAATAACCAAATTGGATAATTTAAAAGTTTCCCCAAAAACTTGTTGAAAGGAAGTATTCAAAGTCTTTCGCACCAACAATCTTCAACATATTATTTAATCGAATATATTTTATGTCTACCTGGTACAATTAATGCTCCAATAGAAAGAGTATTTTTTTTTTTATTTTAAAATGCTCTAACCTGCGTCTTGTCTTTTGTGACCGACAAATCCTTGACATCGTTGATTTTCTCTGGATCCGTTCGGATACCTTCTTCCTACACTACATATCCCAAAAAGCTAACTTGCTGTTTGAATAGTGAACATTTCTTCGGACTCAACTTGAGGTTTGCACTATGGATCTTTATGAGCACGCGTTCCAGGTTTTGAAGGTGTTCCTCAAACGTACGGCCTACCATGATGATGTCATCTACGTGGACCAGACAGACATCGCCAATTAGCCCGGTAAGTACAAGCTCCATCAACCTTTCAAACGTTGCTGGAGTATTGCACAATCCAAACGGCATAACTTTAAATTACTATAGACCCTTTCGTGTCAAGTAAGCAGTTTTCTCCTTGTCCTTAGGGTCAATTTCAACTTGCCAGAAGCCGCTTTTCAGGTCCAGTATGATAAACCACTTTACTCCTGTAAGCATATCCAGCTTGTCATCAATTCTTGGCAAGGGATAGTTGTCCTTCTTCGTAACGTCGTTCAGACGGCGGTAGTCAACATATTATATTGCAATAACTATTGCACATATTTTTCTTGAGTTTAAAACTAACTTATTTTTAACCAGTTGAATTTGCCCCATCTATTACTGACATGACCAAGCTTTATGGCATTTTGTTAGTTGCGTAACATCTTTAAGTCACCTCAAATTACTCAAATAATTAAAATTTATAGGACTAAAAATAATTGAAAAATTGCACATTATTTAATAGCTTATTGGCGCGTCTAAAAAACACCGGAGGGATCGAAAGTGAGCGGGAGGTTGCATCACTGTAGCAGAGTGTCATATCGACGGTGATGTCGTAGAATTGAGGGTACATCGAGAAAAACCCACAGTGGTGCAGTGTAATGTCTACTATAGGCGCCGCGCGCGAGAGATTCCACTTAAGTCATTCTAGGAGTCTGCAGAGTATCGTGGTTCTGTCCATTGTCCAATTTTTCTTGTGCACGCAAGGAAGATGGTGTAACTGAAAGGCAGCTCTATGCTACAATGAGATAAGTAGTGTTGCTGTAGGATTGCATAACTTGTTGTCATCATGTTATTACATCTCACACGTTACACCACTGTGTAACTGTGACGGGGACGAATTACGATATGATCGAACTGTAATTCCTCTATACTGAATATACAGTCCATTACACTGTTTTATTGCTCACAATGATTACTTGCGTAAGCAGAAGAGCAAGTTGAACATCCGTTCTCACACTATTATTATTTTTATCAATTAACCTTGCAACGTATTCTCGATAGTTCCGACTAGCTTATAGCTTATAAAATCGGTACTCTAGTTCTTCGATACACTTTGTATTGACACCGATTTCAAAGCATTTATTCAATTGGGGTTTTACATTTTTAAGTTTAGTTAATATATATTTAAGCCTTCGTTGAAATGCCTTTTTCTCATGCTCGTTTGCTAAAGTGATGTAAATGCTCTTGAGGATAATTACTATATAAAATTATAAGTATTTTATTGCACAGAAATACTCAGTATTATATTAGTTAATACGGCTTTAAATTAAGATACTTATGTACTGCAAATACCAAGGTAATTGGATAGAGTATTACAGAAGAGGCAGTAATCAGTGGATATATCAGTATATACAATTGATAACAATAATAATGATGATGTTGATGATAATCTATATAAAAAATCAACTGCTGTCCGTTAGTCTCGCTAAAACCAAAAAACGATTACTTGTGTGTTTGAATGGTTTCTTAGATGGTTTATATATAAATTTGGACCCGGTGGGTGGCGCTGTTCTCTAGATCCAGAAATCACCCGTGAGAAGCAGGGGCGGATTGCCAGTGTTACATAATTTTATAAAAATGCCCTACGTGGTAGAGCCATGCTGCAGCTATATTATGGTTGTAGCACGAATGGGTCGGCTCGACCGGGGAAGGACCACGCTCTCACAGAATACCAGCGTAAAATAGTAGCTTAACGCTGCTGTGTTTCGTATGGTGAGTGTAGAGAACCGAAGACCCTTTTTACTGGAAACGAGGCATTCCATCTTAGTCCTCATGGGTGACAACGCATCTGCATTTTGATTCTTAATCGAAGATAGATGTAGATATCTATGGGCCACAGCAACCACTTACCATCAGGTGGACTGTGTGCTCGTTTGTCACCCTTATCCCATAAAAAAAAAGTATTATTTACGTCGATAAATTGTTGTAATTTAGAGTTTTGATTTTAATTACTAACGAAACAAAGTTACTGAAGGTATTTACGTCACTAATTGATGTTGATGTTTGTGATGACGATGTTTTGTATATTGTTAGAGCCTTATTTTTTATGATATCGTAATTGTAGTCGACACCGGGAGATTTTGATTTTATAATTATTTGTATATTTAACGAATGAGTTACCTCCATTTAATATTGGACACGGAGGCAAAGTTTCTTTAGTATTTATGTGGCGCTCAGATGATCAGGTGTTGTTAATTAAAGCAGGTGGTTGAAACAATGGATTCGTTACCAACGACCAATCTGCTTGAATTCAATAAAGATGCACTTCAAATCATTCGTAAGGATTATAATTTGGATAAGCCAGGGAGTATGGATCAAGCCATCGACATTTTACAAGAGTGGGTGAAAAAACAAAATCATTTCGAGAAAAAAGATTATCGTAAGTATTTTAAGAATAATTTAAAAACTATTATTCGAGTTGTTAGAATACAAGGTATACATGATTAATAAAAATATTTCGCTGTATAATTATAAGTAATATAAAACTTATGGAAATATGTTAAACTTAAATTATTTATCACATGTTAGAACTTTTTTTACAATATTTAACCAGAGTACGTTAAAATGAGAAAAATTTGATCTCAAGATAACAGAACACCGATGTAGTTGAAAGGATGATGAAAAGTCTCAGCTGCTCTCATGGTCCAGGATCAGTTCCGCTTCTTTCACAAACAATTTAAAATCTATTTTATTTCTTATTACATTTACTCGTATAATTGTAATTAGTTAATAAGTTTCGACAGAAGTCGATGTCAAAACGATCGGGCCGCTCCCATGAGCTCTTCCTGATACCTCATGCAACCAAAAGCGCTGACTCTACAGTCACTGGATACGGCCTTACGGCTTATGCAGATCCCTCCAGGTACAAAACCTAATATCCTATGGTCTTGTGGTTGCATAAATTAGTCGACAATGATATTGTAACGGTTAGCTTTACGCGCTGTTCATAAAACTCATCTCAATAAATTTCTTGATAATTGATTTTTATACCCTATTCGGCGCATGCAAGCAAAACTTAAGTTACAGTCTGTATAGGTCCCACAGTTGGGCACAGGCCTTTTCTCATCTCTCAGAGGGTTATTGTGCAAAGAAATGTTCACTGCCCTAGTAACCCAATACATATTGGTGGACTTCCCTTCTCTTACAATTATGAATCTTTTTAATTTTTCAAACATGCAGGCTTCCTCATGATGTATACTTTGCACGTCATACATCAGCATTTATGAAATTCCAATGAACAATTTTTTTATGCCGGCGGGGTTCGATACCGGGATGCGTTGTCACCCATGAGGAGTAAGATGGAATACGTCTTTTCCAGTAAAAAAGGGTCTCCGGTTCTCTACACTCACCATACGAAACACAGCACCGTTAACCTGGTATTTTAGGCTGGTATTCTGTGAGAGCGCGGTAGTTCCCCAGTTGAGCCGACCCATTCGTGCTACAACTATTCTACTAATATAGCTGCAGCATGGCTCCACCACGTTAAAATTATGTAATGTAAATTTAAATTATCTGTACCATGATATTATGTATATACACATTGTATCCACACCTAAAATATATTATCCTTTTTTTATATAACGGTCTTAAAGATGGCCGTAGAGATAAGAACAATGAGAATAGAAGTAATCTTATACCAAGATTTTTCCGAATAAATTTGCATAATATAAATTTATTAGATCACAAGGTTTTAAACATTTCATGCTAAGATTGTTACGTTAATACACAAATTTTAAATTATATAGTTATTTATTTAAATGATAATCCTCATCAGCCCGTGAGAATATACAGGTAGAAATAGGCTTCACCCTTAGTTGCTTTTTCATCTTAATGATAGGATTCCTTTTCTGTTTAAGACAAATAAGCTGAAAAAGAAACCCATGATTTATTACCGCCCCAAATACTCAATACTCAAATGTGGTTAAGTCTTTTGGTGCTACATTCACTTTGACTTAAAGTGATATAGACAGTACAAGACTTAACGGCATTTTAAAATTATGTGGCGTTTGAGTTTCACCAGATAACTTTTAAAGACGCTAAGAAGTAAATTCATTGTTTCATTCCGGTTTGAAAGTAAAATAATACTTAAAATTATAGCAAAATCCTGGAATAGGATTTCTGTGTCAGGGAAGAGTCATGTGAGAGGGTATTAGAAAAAGAAATCATGTCATTTAATTAATTAATAATTGATAACGGAAATATTTTTTTAATTTTTCCATACGTAAGGATGACAAACGAGAACCCATGTTATCCGTAGATACTTACATTTATACTAGACTAGCTGTGCCCCGCGGTTTCACCCGCGGCATCACGTGTCCGAAGTGCGCGACATGACCTAGTTCAAGCATTTTATAACGGCTAGGGTTTAATCGTCGTTCACGCGCACAGTGAAGTATTGAATTTTTTTAATTTACATTATCTCTTAAACTATGCGTCCAAATAACATGCTATAAAGAACAAAGTTTATCTTCATAAAATTTTCTTGATTATGAAGTAACTTTCGTTCGTAAGGATAAAAAGGTCATGCCTAATAATAACGCTCATAAATCACTTTTAAATTTTCAATATTTTTTGTCACGAAATACCAAATTATGGCTTATGTATAAGAAATAGACATAATATGGTATTACGGACTTTTTTTTAGAGGGAGTAAAGTTCTATATTTTTCTAGAACATTGTATTTACGTATCCTTAACGATAACACCAGCGTACGCGGATAAATCATTTCGGAAGTGCTTTTTTTCTAACTTGCTTAACAAATATCCCAATTTAAGGCTAGCTGAGTAATATAGCTTAATGCTAGAGCTAGCCTATACTATATCACATGAATCTGGCTATAATATACAAAAATAATTTTTCAAATCGGACTGGTAGTTCCAGAGATTAGCGCGTTTAAACAAACATAAAAACAAAAAAAACTCTTCCACTTTATTATATTATAAGTATAGATTAAAAATCGAAAGCAGGTGCGATGTTTCTGCCCCCGGTCGTGCCGTCTTATCTTGCATCCATTCTGCGCTATAGGTGGCTACCACGTATTTTGGATGGTACGGATTCTTATTTACATTCTATTTGATTCGATAAATTGCTTGTTTCAGCCAGAGAATATTTGGAGAGGAGAATAATTTTTTGCAAGGGTTCAGTGGAGCGCGCAAAGTCAAAAATAGACAGAAATTGCACTCTTAGGACTTTGATGCCGCAGTTCTATAAATATGTCGATTTTAAGACTGAATACAAGTATTCGGACATTATGTAAGTATTACTTGTTAATAATTTTAATAATCCTCAATCATCCCTCAACCGTACAGAATGTCTCCCGAACCTGCAGAAATTATATGTTGACCTATTTTTATAAAAAGCTCGGTTTGGTTTCCTATGGTTAGGAGGAAACCCCTGTCATCGCAACTTTTTCATAGAATAGAGGAAAACAAAACGAGCATACGGCTCATTTGATTATTTTTTTTTTCAGATGGGACGGGCTGCTACCTAAAATGACTGATGACTATTACAGAATTTATGTAGTAAAAAATGTTGGAAAACGTTTTGATAAGGATATTGTAATGAGTTACTTTCGATGGATGATTGCAGTAAGAATTTTCGTCTCTTCATTTCAAACCTTAGTTCGAGTTTCATAATAAAAAAAGTGTTACAAGCACTGCATATTGTATAACGCATTCCATCAATTTAACGTACATTTTACAAAGTGCATTCCACATTAAGTATTTTGTAGATTTTGTATGTTAAAACGAAAGTGACATACGAACTTAAAGTGATGATGATGATAAGTGGTTACTGCAGTTCAAGGACACCTGCAGCAAACATTAAACAAAGTAGGATACACATAGGTTGTCATATCCGAGAACTAAGATGGAATGCCTCACAGGCTGTTATTGTCAAAAAAATCATAAAAATATTTATTTAGTAACAATAGATTGACAGTACCAATATTTAAGTTTAGAGATCTAATTTTAAGTATATAAATACTAGTAGATCCAGCTTTTCCTTATTTGTCATGTATATTTAGTTATGAATAATATTTCTAGAACAATATAATATTAAAGGAATATTTTCAAACAAATGAAGATCTGCGAGGGTGTATTCCCACGCGTGCGATTCCTCCCTTGCGCGGTTACTATTTGGTAGTAGAAAGACTTAAGGGGGGTGGTATCTACCCTGACCGATTTATAGGCAGAAAAGAAGCTCTACTACTCTACCTCCGATTACCTAGTAAAATTTTGAAATTTTTATTATTTTCTGTTACGTAATAAATTTCTTGATACCCGAATATAATCATCTTCTCTTTGGAAATATTCAATCATCAAAACTACTTTCTTTAATCTTTTCAAGCTTATCGAAATTATACAGCCATAAATTGTCCCATAGGTAAAATGTTATCATAGTTACTATCGGCTTTGAATAAAACTATTTTTTACGGATTTTATCGCGTTTAATTTTACTATTTTAATTCCCGACATTTCGGGTGCTTTACAGCAACCCATGGTTACGGGGGGGACTGAAATGTTTGACGTCCCGATGTCACAGTTAGCCCGGTTAAACCTTCAGTTTTTTAATATTATTTTTTTGAAAAAAAAAAAATAGTTTTATTCAATGTGTAGTGTTTGCGTAAATATAAGTTATCATTAGTTATATGTACCGGCGTTTGCGGACGAGTTGGCAACCACATTCTTTTATAAAATTTTTTTTAGTTTTTCTGATTCCCTCTGTCACCTTCTACGAAAGCTCTATAAAGTTAGCAGAAAACTTAAAATTATGTCGAGGAATTTGTAACTAATTTGTTGATAATTAGTTCCAAAATCGCGATTTTGTTGCTCCATTCGGCTTCGGGAAACGCACGAACGCACATCGCAACAGAACTCCCGATACCATCCATATTATCTGGATGATTGGCGGTCCACCACTGTGCGATTTGGAAGATGTTTTCTTCCTCGCACAACTTCCTTGTGGAATAGTTTACCACCAGCGATTTTTCCGGACCGATACGACTAGGGCCCTTCAAGAAAAGAGCCTATTCCTTTTTAAAAGGCCGACAATGCATCTGCAATTCCCCTGGTATTGCGGTTGTTCATGGGCGGCGGTAGTCACTTACCATCAGGTGAGCCGCATGCTCGTTTGCACCCTCTCCTATAAAAGAAATTGTAATTATTTGTGTCCATGCTATAATTATATAAAAATTTAAGAAAAAATATAGCAGATATGTTTTTGTTGGCCAGTAATGAACGAAGCAAGTCATAAAGAGCCAGCAACAAAATAAAATAGATAGATAAGCTGTACCGAGTAATATGGTAATAATTATTTGTGCAAATGCTAAATTTACATGAAATTTATAGGAAAAAAGATAGCAGATATTTTGTTGCTGGTCAGTAACGGAAGCAGCAACTCATACAAAGCCAGCAACATAATAAAGTCGATCGATAAGCTGCACCAAGTAATTAATTAGTAATTATTTGTGTACATTCTATATTTTTATGAGAAAAAGAGTGAAAAAGATAGCAGATATGTTGTTGCTGGTCAGCAATGGAAGCAGAAAGTCAAAAAAGCCAGCAATAAAATAAAATAGATCGATAAGCTGCTCTAAACAATTAGTATATAATTATTTGTGTACATACTTGGTGCAGCTTATCGATCGACTTTATTTTGTTTTTGGTTCTGTGAGTTGCTGCTTCTATAACTAATCAGCAACATAGTGTCTCCTATTTTTTCCATTAATATTCATGTAAATATAGCATGTAAACTAATAATTATTACTTGCTGCTTTATTTACTGACCAGCAACAAAATATCTGCTATATTTTTCCTATAATTTTCATTTTAATATAGCATATACACAAGTATTTTTTAACTTTCTACTTGGTGCAGCTCATCGATCAATTTTATATTGTAGCTGGCTCTTTATGACTTGCTGCTTTATTTACTGGCCAGTAACAAAATATCTGCTATCTTTTTTCCTATAATTTTTACGTAAATATAGCATGTACACAAATAATTATTAATTCATTACTTATCGACCTGTTTTATTATGTTGCTGGCTCCTTATGACTTTCTGCTTTCATTTCCGGCCAGCAACAAAATATCTGCTATTTATCCTAAAATTTTCAATAAAATATAGCATGTACACAAATAATTACTAATTAATTACTTGTAACAGCTTATCGATCAACTTTTTGTTGTTGACTCTATATGGGTTCCTGCTTCCGTTACTGACCAGCAACAAAATATTTGCTATCTTTATTCCTATAATTTTTATGTAAATATAGCATGTATAAAAATAATTATATACGAAATACTTGGTGCGGCTTATCGATTTTTTTATTTTCATGCTGGCTTTTTATAACTTGTTGCTTCCATTACTGACCATGACCAGTAACAAAATATCTGCTATTTTTTCCTAAAATTTTCAATAAAATATAGCATGTATACAAATAATTACTAATTAATTACTTGTAACAGCTTAGCGATCAACTTTTTGTTGCTGACTTTATATGAGTTGCTGCTTCCGATACTGACCAGCAACAAAATATCTGCTATCTTTTTCCTATACTTTTCATGTAAATATAGCATATACATAAATAATTACTAACTAATTACTTGGTGCAACTCGATCTATTTTATTTTGTTGCTGTCTCTTTACGACTTGCTGCTTCCATAACTGACCAGCAACAAAACATCTGCTAACTTTTTTTCTATAATTTTCGTGTAAATATAGCATGTACACAAATAATTACTGACTAATTACTTGGTGCAGCTTTTCAATCTATTTTATTTTGTTGCTGGCTCTTTATGACTTGCTGTTTCCATAACTAAACAGTATATATCTGTTGTTCTTTTTTTTAATTTCCCGAATAGGCAGCATGTACACATTTATTTGTAACTTATTACTTGATACATCTTATCGACCGATTTTATGTTGTTTTAGGCTGTCTGGTAGTTATTGATCTATTTATTAATCAGCTGCAAAATTATCATTCATTTGGAACTTCAGAACCTGTTTTAAAACATAACTTGATTTTTATTAATTTTTTATTTTTTATTTTTTTTAATATTTGATTTTTTAAACATTTTATTGCATTGCATTTCAGCAACTAATTAGCAACAAATTATCCCGTTTTATCCGCTACGGCGGGGTCGGTTGAAAGTTTTACTGCTATCTTAATGTAGCAGTAAATCAATTTTCTCAAAACCAGTTGGGGCAACAAAATTGCGATTTTGGCAACTAGTTAGCAACAAATAAGCTACAAATTCCTAGATAAAATTTTAAGGTTTCTGCTGTTTTTTCACTGCTAACTTTATTCAGCTTTCTACGACAACTATGGGATGATATGAAGTAGTGGAGATTCTTAGTTCGCAATTACACTGCAACATCAACATCTTTATTTATTGTTTTAGATTTTTTTAAAACGTTATACCCTAGTAAAAGCTGCACCAAGTAATTAGTCAGTAATTATTTGTGTACATGCTTGGTGCAGCATTTCAATCTATTTTATTTGTTGCTGGCTCTTTATGACTTGCTGCTTCCATAACTAAACAGTATATATCTGTTGTTCTGTTTTTTAATTTCCCGAATAGGCAGCATGTACACATTTATTTGTAACTTATTACTTGATACATCTTATCGACCGATTTTATGTTGTTTTAGGCTGTCTGGTAGTTATTGATCTATTTATTAATCAGCTGCAAAATTATCATTCATTTGGAACTTCAGAACCTGTTTTAAAACATAACTTGATTTTTATTAATTTTTTATTTTTTATTTTTTTTAATATTTGATTTTTTAAACATTTTATTGCATTGCATTTCAGCAACTAATTAGCAACAAATTATCCCGTTTTATCCGCTACGGCGGGGTCGGTTGAAAGTTTTACTGCTATCTTAATGTAGCAGTAAATCAATTTTCTCAAAACCAGTTGGGGCAACAAAATTGCGATTTTGGCAACTAGTTAGCAACAAATAAGCTACAAATTCCTAGATAAAATTTTAAGGTTTCTGCTGATTTTTCACTGCTAACTTTATTCAGCTTTCTACGACAACTATGGGATGATATGGAGTAGTGGAGATTCTTAGTTCGCAATAACACTGCAACATCAACATCTTTATTTATTGTTTTAGATTTTTTTAAAACGTTACACCCTAGTAAAAGCTGCACCAAGTAATTAGTCAGTAATTATTTGTATACATGCTTGGTGCAGCATTTCAATCTATTTTATTTGTTGCTGGCTCTTTATGACTTGCTGCTTCCATAACTAAACAGTATATATCTGTTGTTCTGTTTTTTAATTTCCCGTATAGGCAGCATGTACACATTTATTTGTAACTTATTATTTGATACATCTTATCGACCGATTTTATGTTGTTTTAGGCTGTCTGGTAATTATTGGTCTATTTATTAATCAGCTGCAAAATTATCATTCATTTGGAACTTCAGAACCTGTTTTAAAACATAACTTGATTTTTATTAATTTTTTATTTTTTTATTTTTTTTAATATTTGATTTTTTAAACATTTTATTGCATTGCATTTCAGCAACTAATTAGCAACAAATTATCCCGTTTTATCCGCTACGGCGGGGTCGGTTGAAAGTTTTACTGCTATCTTAATGTAGCAGTAAATCAATTTTCTCAAAACCAGTTGGGGCAACAAAATCGCGATTTTGGCAACTAGTTAGCAACAAATAAGCTACAAATTCCTAGATAAAATTTTAAGGTTTCTGCTGATTTTTCACTGCTAACTTTATTCAGCTTTCTACGACAACTATGGGATGATATGGAGTAGTGGACATTCTTAGTTCGCAATTACACTGCAACATCAACATCTTTATTTATTGTTTTAGATTTTTTTAAAACGTTATACCCTAGTAAATGTGAAATTTTTACTTAATGGTGAAAAGTCAAAATTTAAAAAAAAGGCACGTATGACAATTCACAATGCTGTGTTTATCCGTATCATAATGTATGTTGGTGATAGTTGGGTATGTCAGAAGAAACAGAAGTAAAATTAATGCCGCGGAAATGCGATCATTAAGAAGTAAGTTAGGGCTGACTGATAATGATAGAATGAGAAATTGTATATAAGAATTTTAGCCCATATGCTACTTTATTTAAAATGTTACATTTTTAAATAAATTTATTTTCAGATTGCAGAATACGCACTAGCGAATGATTATAGCAGAGGTGTAATATTAATTGTAGACTTTTTGGACACTAATCTAATAGAATTAATAAAGTTCCTGGACTTCGTTGAATTGCACCAAGCTATAACATTAATAATTGTGAGTATATATTTAATTTTTTTCATTACTACAAATGAAAAGTCGTATCTTTTCGAATTTATGACATATTTGGTCTTTTCATTTGAAACTGCGTTTTAATTTTTTTACGCTTCAAGTGTCAGAGGCCGTACGGGAGGTTACCCGATACCAGCAGGCGCTAATGTTAACAATGATATCTTTTTAATTTTGTATGCCAGGTATATATATAAAACTTACACGCATCGATTTCTTTGAATTAAGCTATTTAATGTTACTTTATAAATATTTGTTATATCAATGTATCAAAATAATAAAAGTACTTCTTATTTGTATTTTACTACTAGTAACGCCATCTCATGTGCAATGTAGACAATATATTGTATTAAGTATATTTATTGTACTATGCCAGTTTTATATAAGATTTGTATGAATGTCTATGTGTACTTTAAAAAATAAAACCAGTCTGTTAGCGACATTTACGTGTTTAATTTTAGGTTATGGGCCTATCCCGGAATTATCAGTTTTTTTTGTTCTAAAATAGATAGTTAGTGAAACTTGTATCGCGGAAACATGACTACGAACTATATTGCCAGTGTTTCTAAATTAAAAGGAATAAAGAACTATGATGAGTGGAGCTTTTAGTGCTCGAAGGGATGGACAAGTACATCAAACCGACGACAGATTTTGAACTTAAGCTTGTGGACGATGCAAAAACGAAGGCAAAACTAATATTGACTATAGACCCGTCATTATACGTACATATTAAGAACACCAAGAGCTCAAAAGAATTATGGACTACGTTGAAGACCATGTTTGATGACTCCGGTTTCTCGAGAAAAATAACCTTGCTGCGACATTTGATATCCATACGACTACAAAACTGTGATTCTATGGCGACATATGTGACTCAAATGGTCGAGACAGCACAGCGGTTAAATGGCACGGGCTTAACAAAAACAGACGAATGGGTTGGCTCACTATTATTAGCAGGTTTGTCTGATCGTTATACACCCATGATCATGGCAATTGAAAATTCGGGTATTTTGATAACTGCAGATGTCATAAAGTCGAAATTACTTGACATGGACCAGTGACAATAACAGCGCCGGAAACGAAGCTGCATTTGCCGCGCGAAATAAATTTTACTCTGGCAACACTAAGCCAAAGAAATATGGTGGTTACTCATTGCCAAATAAGAAGACGGAGACAGCAATGACAGATTCATATACGAAGATAATAACTTGCTATAAATGTAACGAGGATGGTCATTATCGAAATCAGTGCCCGTTATTAAAGAAAAATAATAGCAAATGCGTATTTAATGTCGTTTTTCTGAACGGAAACTTTAACAAAACAAAAAGGTACGTGAATTCAGGAGCAAGCGCACATATGACGGTAAACGAATCTTGAATTAAAAACATGACATCCACACCGTGGTTACCTGAAATTGTGGTAGCAAACAAATCAAAAATGCCAGTGGTTTGTTCCGGAAACGTCGACATTGTTTCTGACTTAAAATTTGACATTACGGTGAAAGATGTGCTATGCGTGCCTAGTTTGACAACAAACTTATTATCTGTAAGTGACACTGCTATATACAAAACAAAAGCAATGTTTTGGTAGCCATAGCTGATTTATCGGATGGTGTATATAAGCTAAGGTTACACACATGGAGTTGTATGTTAGCTACACCGGTGGTAAGTGGCAAACAATGGCACAGAAGGCTGGCGCACAGCAATAATCAGGACATGAATAGAATGAGAAATATGGTGGACGGTTTGTCAAACGAAACAATTTCGACATAACCAAGTCTCAGTGTACTACTTGTTGCGAGGGAAAGCAAGAAAGATTACCCTTTTCGCATGTGGGTAAAAGAAGCACAGAGACGCTACACAGAATTCATACAGACCTTTGTGGACCGATGGAAACTAGTTCACTAAATGGTGCACAATATTTTATACTGTTTGTTGATGATTTTAGTAGAATGACGTTTATATATTTTTTTCGAAAGAAAAATGAAGCATTTACCTTTTTCAAGATCTTTAAAACAATGGTGGAAAATCAGTTCAATAAAAAGATTAAAATACTAAGGTCAGACAATGGACTAGAATATACTAACATAGAGTTTGAGAATTATTTAAAGCAAGAGGGCATAATTCATCAAAGATCGAGTAATTATACACCTGAACAAAATGGTCTATGTGAGCGAGTTAACCGTAGTGTGACTGAGAAGGCTAGATGTCTAATGTACGATGCAAAGCTTGATAAAAGATTTTGGGCAGAAGCAGCAAACACTACTGTCTATTTAAAAAATAGATCCATTGCATGGGGACTTCACAAAACTCTATATGAATTGTGGTATAAAAAAAAACCAAAACTAAGTCACATACGTTTATTTGGTTGTAAAGTCATGGTACATATCCCTAAGGAACGTCGTTTGAAGTGGGATATGAAGTCTACGGAACACATATTAGTTGGCTATAGTGAAGATATTAAGGGCTACAGATTATACAATCCTGTCAAGAAAAATCTTATTATCAGCAGAGATGTTATCTTTATGGATATATGTCAGGAGTTGGCTATCTGGGTTCCTAACAAAGAGCCACCTGCAGTTAGCATTCAGGAGGAGGTGGATGCAAATTCAGTGGGGGAAGCATCACAGAATGTTTTAGACTCTGAAGACTACCATTCAGATTCTTCGGTGTATGAGGATGGGAATGAAACTTCTGAAACCTCAACTACAGATGACTTAGTACAAGAAGCCCAGATGACATCAAATCCAGAGCAGGAGCATATTTTGTCTAGTAAGCGTTCCAGAAAAAAACCTGATCGGTATGGTTATATGTGTGTTCTAAGAGGCTCTCGTGGCGCCTGAGAGTGAGCAGTGGAAGAGTGCCATGGCCGACGAGCTGCAGTCATTTGAGGACAACAATGCTTGGGAGCTCGTTGACAACCCAGATAATGTGTCAATTGTGTAATGTAGATGGGTGCTCAATAAAAAGTTTGATGTGGACAATAATGTACGGTTCCGGGCTAGACTTGTGGCTAAAGGTTTTTCACAGAAACCTGGCATTGACTATACAGACACTTTCTCTCCAGTTGTAAGACATTCCACACTTAGATTATTATTTGCTCTCAGTGTTAATTGGAATATGAGTATTGATCACTTAGATGTAACTACAGCCTTTTTAAATGGTTTTTGAAAGAAACTATTTACATGTCAATACCTGAAGTTTTTGTGAACAAAAGTGGGGGAAAGCTTTTGAAATTAAATAGAGCAATCTACGGATTAAAACAATCTTCTCTTGCAAGGTATGACAGAGTCAAAGATTTACTCTGTAACTTGGATTCCATAAATAGTCAGTATGAGCCTTGTTTGTTCACAAAAACAAAGGGTGAAATTAAAAACAAAGGGTGAAATTATTGTGGCCCTATATGTTGACGATTTTTTAATTTTCTCTAATAGTTCTCTTGAAACTGATAATTCAAAACTTGTTTTGGGTGCAGAATTTAAATTAAAAGATTTGAGACCTGTAAGACATTATTTAGGCATGAGAATAAATGTAGATAAAAATAAGAAAGTAATACCTTTAGATCAACAACAGTATATTGAACAGTTAGCTTCTATATTCAATATGTCAGATTGTAAAATATATAAAACCCCAATTAAATGTAAATTAAATGTTAAGAAGGCTTATGAATGTGTACCTGATCTTCCGTATCAAAAGTTAATTGGATCATTGATGTATTTAGCTGTACTAACTAGGCCAGACATATCCTATTCTGTTAGTTACTGAAAATTTCGAGAATCAGGGAAGTGACACAACATTACTATTTAAAAATGTATTTATTGCTTTTCGAAGTATTCTCCACGAAATTTGACATATTTTTTCATACGATGGAACCAATCATTGAAGCAACCATTCCATTCCGAAGTTGGAGTCTCCAAAATGGCCATTTTGTAGGCGTCCACAGCTTCTTCAGGTGATGAAAATCTCTGTCCACGCAATTTATTCTTTATTTTAGGGAAAGTATAGAAATCATTAGGGCTTAGGTCGGGGCTGTACGGCGGATGGTCTAATAATTCTATGTTTTCTTGCTCTAAAACCTCTTTTGTTCTGTGTGCGGTGTGAGAACTCGCATTGTCGTGATGGAGGAAGATGCGGCGGTTGCAGTTCTCTTTACGGAGTTCAGAAACGACCTGTGGCAAACAAATGCTAGCATACCATTCTGCATTAACCGTTCTTTTTCTCTCAAGAGGAATCGTCATAACATGGCCTGTTTTGGAGACAAACGTGGCCACCATTTTTTTGCAACACTCCGTGAACGAACAATTTTTGTTGGCTTTAACTCATTTTCGAACACCCAAACTCGTGACTGGTTTTTTGTTTCAGGTTCGTACGCATATATCTAGGATTCTTCACCGGATACGATGTTGTATACAGCATTTGAGGATCCTGCGTGGAATCTTTCGAGAGTTCTGATGCACCAAGTAACGGGAGCCGCTTTTTGCTCTTCACAGAGCGAATGCGGTATCCATCGGGAAAACAACTTTTTTACACCTAATTGTTCATGCAAGATTATTTGTATTTGACTCATGCTAATGTCTAAAGTTGCCTGAATTTTGCGGTATGTCACATGTTAATCTTTCTCAATCAGCTTACGCACAGCATCAACGTTTTCTTGGGTGACTGCAGTTTTTGGACGACCTTGACGGGGATCATCACTGAGCTTGACACGTCCACGTTGAAATTCAGCAAACCAGCGATAAATTGTGGTTTTGGATGGGGCTTCATTACCAAATGCAGAAATAATCCGGTCAACACATTGTTTTTGTGTTAAACCACTTCGAAAGTCATAATAAATCATCGCTCTTGAATTTTTTCGAGTCAATTCCATTTTCTCAACGACTAAACAAGTTTGACAAAACCTTGTGACCAGACCGAAAATCTTTTTTGAAATAAATAAATGGTATTCGATTTTTTAAACCAAGGACTTTTAAATTAAAATAATTTTAATTAGACAGGAACAGTGGAATTATTCCATTCCCGATACTTTTAGTGCAGCCTATGTATCTGAGCCAATTTAATAGTGGTTATAATCATACACATTGGCATTATGCTAAACGAATTTTAAAATATTTGTTATATACGAAAACCTATAGTTTAAGATTTTGTAAGGATGATAACAAGTTACAGGGTTTACAGGGTTTATCTACATAGTGATTGGGCTAGTGACGCTTTAGACAGGAAGTCGTATACAGGCTTTTGCTTAACAATGTCTGGATCTGCAATTTCATGGCAAAGCAGGAAGCAGAAGACGGTATGCCTTTCCAGTACAGAGGCAGAGTATACTGCTCTATCTGAGGCAGCTCGGGAAGCAGTGTAACTTAGAAATCTTCTTTATGAAATTATAGGTAGTTTTTATGTGATTGAGTTTTATTGTGACAATCAAAGTGCATTAAAATTGTCAATAAATAATCAAAGTCACAATAGATCGAAACATATTGACGTGAAATATCATTATGTAAGAGATGTTGTTAACAGTAAATATATAAATATCCTATATCTATGTACTGAAGAAATGACAGCTGATATTCTCACTAAAGGTTTATGTCCTGTTAAATATTATAAGTTTCTGCGTAAGTTGGGAATTGTACCAAAATAATTTTATTGCTTTATTTTGATAAGTGGGGGTGTTATAACAATGTATCAAAATAATAAAAGTACTTCTTATTTGTATTTTGCTACTAGTAACGCCATCTCACGTGAAATGTAGACAATATATTGTATTAAGTATATTTATGGCACTATGCCAGTTTTATATAAGATTTGTATGATTGTCTATGTATACTTTAAAAAATAAGACCAGTCTGTTAGTGACATTCACGTGTTTAATTATAATATTAATAGATTTGGTATTTTTAGTGAGTTAAACAAATACTAACATTAAATGGGCAAAATTTTTAAAAATAGAAAATGGAAAAGTTATCTAATCTCTCTTTGTGGCAAAAAAGTAAGATTACCTAATAATATAATACACAACACTCAGAGTTGTGATTTACTCCTTTAATTGTGTTGTAAATTGCAAAGTTTATGCTTATTGCAAAATTGCCCTCCCCTTTTAAATTTTTCATACAAAATTCAGGGTTGTCAAAAATCCTTGATTACGTACCTTACTTAATTTTTTTTAATCTTGTCACAATAATTTCTTATGTAAAACTCTATAATGTATCAAACCAAAATTCCCTCCTGTAAAATTAAAAATTAAATCGGTGGAATAATAAGCTTTAATCAGTTACATCGTGGATAAAAATCTTGTAACAGTTATTTTTAACAAACATCCGTCTTTTTTTTATTAGTTAAGACCAATATGTTAAAATGATATATGACATTTCCTAACCATTAATATTACCTTACTATAAGGATATAAATATACCCACATCAAGTATTTCAAACAAAATGAACAAAAGTTCTGGATCACTGAACAAAGATGTTATTACGCCGGCACAATTTTTCGTCAATAAAAGGTTTTGAAATATTCAACAATATGTTGTGGTAATACTTTATGAAATCTAAATTCTTTAGTACATATATTCTGTGTGAGTAAAAAAGTCTCGGCGTTACTGGAGAAGTTTTAAATGATTCTGTATTCAAGATTGGAATATCAGTGAAATATTTACCGAAAACCGCTGATCTTCCTGATTTGATTTCTGGGAAACAACGTGAGGGAAAGAAAAACATCGTGAGGGAACCTCCATGTCAGAGAAATTAAAAATATTTTAAAGACATGTAAAGTACGTTAACCAGCTTTGTGGCAGCGCGGCGGAAATATCATTGCCCTAAATCGTGCTCAGACCTGATAGGAGACCTTTCCCTAGCACTGAAATATTTATATCCAGTAAAAGTTACAGTTAGTTACATCTTTTACTTTAAGCTTTTACGTTTAAGACAGTATTTGTATATTTATATAAAAATACTACTATTTTGAATAACTCAGATTAATAAATCTTACTTCATTTTCTTCCTTTTACTTTGTGTCATTAGAAAAAAAATATGTATAACGTAACATTTTAACATTAAAAGTTCATAAACTAATTTGGATTATTGAACAAAATGGTACAGAAAGAAAATCTACTTTTTTATGCTCTCATATTTACGGTTTTTTGAATACAGAAATGGATTCTATGACATCGATAACATATAACATTCAAAACCTTGAATATCTTTAATTTGATTCGACAAGGTAATGCTGTCGTGACGAGCAAATATATAATTTATCAGAAAACATTTTTTTCAGGATGGCTACGCAGTGAGAATAAAAGCTATACATGCAATTACGCCCTCAAAAACTGTAGAAACCATAATTGCATTATTTAAACAAATTGTCAGCGCAAAATTAAGTCAACGCATTCAAATACACAAGGATTTGGAATCACTGCACAAGGTTGTCCAGAGAGATGTGCTACCAGAAGAGCTAGGCGGGAATGAGAAATCTATGACTAAAATAAACAGTAAGTATAACATTTTTTACCCTATTCTTTAATTATTATGACATCTTATTTATTAGAACTGTATACCAGATTATAATATCGCCGTATATTTACAGCATATATTTTAGGACTGTTTATTTATTTATTTATTCTATTTTATTGAACTTTACAAAATAATATAGTAGCCATTCAATCTTAGGACAGTAATAACACTACTAAGGCGATTAGAGAACATACACAAAAATTTGTAAAAATAAACACATACACACATCTAAATTATTCCTAAGAGAAAGAAATAACGATTTCTTATATTTACGCGAACACTACACATCGAATAAAACTACTTTTACGGCTTTTATTGCGTTTAATTTACATATTTTATATTTATCGGGACCATTAGGTCACGGGGGACTGAGTTGATTGACTTCTCGATGTCAGAGTTAACCCGGAGTACCTTCAGCTTTTTTAATTATTAATTTTGGTCCGATCTACGCAAAATTAGCACACAGTACCTTGAAGTCTTGCAATGATATACTTGGGTTTGGATTTAATTTTATTAATTATAAGATCCCAAGCAGATGGCAGCACCCAACAATCTTCTCTATTGAAATTAGGATGTTTTTACGTCGGTGCTTCAAGTCAGCTATATGTTCTTTCACGCGGGTTTTTATAGATCTTTTTGTTTGTCCTATGTAAGAGAGACCACATTCACAATCCAGCTTGTTCACTCCTGCATCTTGTAGAGGGATATGACACTCGACGGATGGCAAAAATTGACTAATTTTCTTCGGCGGCTTGAACTATGTTCTAATAAAAGCGCGCTCCAAGATGTTCTGTTGATGATCCTGTTTCAGAGAAAAATTTGTTTCATTTGATGTGTAGTCTTCGCATAAATATAAGAAATCATTAAGTTATCAATTATCGTATAGTGGTCTTGTATTAATATCCATACCATCCCGTGGATCACGTAAGAGATGACTAGACTTTGGTAAAAGTGTTATTTTTAAATAACCGGACCGGACGACGAAAAATACAACACATAAAGGCTTTTGTAACTGCCTTTGTCGCTTAATATTTAGTCGATTAATACAACATTTTTAAATATATCGAAATTGATACGAATTCGATACTCTAAAATAAATATCAATATATGACGACAACAACGTTATATGAAAACCTTTATTCCTCTCTGTTGCTGACATCGGATTAGTGTATTTTAGTTGTTTCCATATAGCATAATGTCCTTTGGTATGCCGAATGGCAGCGGGCATCAGAGAGCAGTTCGTTCCATTTATACATTGGGAACCCTTGGTTAAAAGGAATAATTATATATAAATTGGGAACCCTTGGTTAAAAGGAATAATTTAGAGTCCAGAATATTAACTGTTGCATCACAATACATATACCTATATAATTTGTATGAAAAATATATTGTATGTAAATATAGTGACTTACGTGATTTTAAGGCTGGGTGTTCCTGTTTTTTTTTTTCGTTTTTAAATTGGTTTTTGATAGCCAAATTATTACATTTAGAATCAACAAAAAATATTTATTTTAGATACACATATTATTCCTCCTTACAATGTACCCTGTCAAAACACGATACAAGACAATTTTTTCGATAGAAAAAATTACCAAACTTCGTTCGATTTACAGTTTTTTTACAAGTTTAATTTCATTTTAAACAAGAACTAATACTCCTTTTTTCTATAAAAATATCAATTTATAAGTAATTTATTTTGGAAACCTATCATAGGATATTATAAAGGATAGTTTTTTTTTATTTGTATTAAACGAAAATAAAACAAATTGTAAATAACTATAGTTTTAAGGAACGTACATAGACTGTAGTAAAGTTTTTTTTTTGTGGGTAAATATTTGTTTATAATATTAAAACAATAATTTTGTTGTTATTTTGTAAAAATCACGATCATATGCGCAGCCCGACTCGATCTTTTCGACGACCGCTTAGAAATACTTAATGCGCTTGGATGTGGAGGAGGCGAGAGAGGTGTGCCAAGATCGTGTCAATTGGAAGTCCGTAATATTTGCCTTACCCTCTGGGTGACAGGCGTGAGTGTTTATGATTATGATTATGGTGATGAAACAAAAATAAACTTCCAACCTCAATTCTTCGGATTTTTATTTTTATGTTCTACTTTATTTCAACAGCATTGTATTAGATTAATGCTGAAAGAAATTTTATTTATGTTTTATATGTACCATAACTAACGTATTCTGTCCTACAGAAGAATGGATAGACGTTCTTAGTTCAGAGGAGTTCCAAGAATATTACAGCGAAATGAAAGCAGCTTCCACAAAAGAAAAGTACAGACTAACTGATAAATTTAGCGAGGAGTATATGGGAATAGCAGGCACATTTAAAACATTAAATGTAGACTAGTGATTTTGATTTAAAAATAGATTATCTTTATTAGGTTTATATAATGGTGTTGATAGTTTAAGTGTAACAAGTATGTAATACGCAAATAAATTTTATTAGTCTAAGAATGATATTTGATTTTGACACATTTTAATCATTTCTTTATTCAATGAAGTTGGAGGATCCATATGAGTTAATATTGACACAGTTACCACGCCTCAATGGTTATAAATTTGTGCCTTGTATAGTAAAGTTTATTTGTTCGCTTATTTCTAAAGAAACTGGGACTTTGTGTCACCATAAAGCAATTATAATACAATAATGTATATTTTATAAAAATTATAAATAAAAAAATTCAATAAATATAATGCAATAATCTATATTTAATAAAATGTATTATAAAATTATAATCAAGGTCATTTTGCAAAGATAAAACATCATCCTGATTTTTAATAGCCTTGAACAATTTTAAATGGTCGGCGAAAATAGAACAGTGGCTGTACTTAATGTTATTTGTTATGTCATTAATAAACACAAAAAAGAATAGGACCAATATGTGAACCTTGGGGTACACATGAGAGAGCCACATAATCATTAGACCTATATTCATGCAATACAACGCTTTGTAATCTATTTTTAAGATAAGTTCTCAGCCATCGAAGTAAATTCCCATGTACACCGTATGAATTTAATTTAGATATTAGTAGTTGATGGTCCGCGATATCAAGTGCATTAGAAAAATCTGTGTATATGGAATCCACCTACATTTGACCATCCATTGCACTTGCAACTTTTGTGACGTAATCCATCAAATTGCTAACAGTAGATTATCTTAGCAAAACCCGTGATGTGCGTCTACAATAATATTTTTAAATGATTTGTTCAAATTGGATAAACTAAGCGTTCAAATATCTTTGGAAATAAACTTATAATCGAAACCGGTCTATAATCCGCCTGCTCTTTGGAAATATCTAGTGACTTGAGTATATTTAGGATTTTACGTTCTGTTATTTCTATATCATGTAGAGAGCTTTGTGGATATATATCGGACAATATAAGAGCTGAAGTACACTGGGGTTGGGAGAACACAGATGAAAAATTTTAAGCAAAAAGATTACATATCTCCTCGCCACTATGTACGAACAACTTATACTGAAATTCCAATAACTAGTAATCCACCTTATGCAATCGTTCGCGCCAAATGCTAATTTTAAGAATTAACACTAGTGTTGAGTTTGAAGTTAATTAAATGTATAATAAAGTTGATAGATTGAAATAGTGTACAATAAAGTTGATAAACTGAAATAGTGAAATGAAGTCAGCAGTTTTCAATTGGTGACGTCCGCTGGAGTGATACCACATCGTGGGACAGCATCGGATCAGGCCGCTGCCCGATCACCTCGGTTAAGTCAGGTCACACATTTACACACTACTACACACAAACTTACATGCACCTACCTACCGCCTGACCAAGCCTTGTGGTCAGTCTTAGCTTCGGAACCAGGTACGTCCTATTTATTTACCTAACCCTTATATATATATTGATTATCCATAGGCATTTCGAGCCCCACCCTTAGATGTCCGTCGAATCTACAGCTGTATAGGCCCCTGTATAATCGACCTTTGTCGGGGCAACTAGGGGCGTGTACAATTTCTGGTAGCAGAGCATGGTTGATTGATATCCAATCACGCCCGGCAGTAATATTAATAAAAATAGTAGGTAATAAATACGTACGTAATAAAAATTAATATTTTTTTTGTTTGTTAATTTGGCTGCACAAGCAGGAGTTTGTTAAGGCTAGGTACGCGTCAGGTATTTTGGGTAGGTAGATAATTATCGTTATCACATAATCGTATAATTATCGGTATCGTATAATTATAGCAGATTAATTGCCGAAGGGTCGGTCGTCTGAGCGATGCATCTTTGCTGATCGACTGTAGTGTGTATTTGTATTTTTAGTAATTTGTATTTAACTTAATTTAATAGTAATTGTATTTGTTATTTGTTAATTTGATTTGTATTTGTGCCGCGTATTCATTTGTATTTAGTAGTGATGTTATCGCACAAAATACCGGAGCGTCGCCTGAAGGCGGAACTGCGCTGGGCTGCCAACGCCCATGCTTTGATAGGGCGAACAGATCGGGTCTATAGTTTAGAGAAGCGGCTCGAGCAGGTCGCGGCCCGAAGGGCCGTGGTGGAGGAGGCTTACGCTGAGCTCGAGGCCTCGGATGCGGAAGTCCTGGACTCCTGCCTCGTATACTACAAGCAATTCTTTTCGCTCACGGACGACTTGATCGAGGCGGGGGCCAACTACCTAAGGAAGCGCGTGAAGCTCTGATGAGTAGCCTGCCCGAGTCCCCTCGTAAGCAGCCTACTCAGCCGGAGCTGTTGGGATGACTCCCAACTCTGGACCTGCCAAGGTTCTCCGGGGTCCTCTCCGACTGGCTTACATTTGTTGGTCTTTTTGACAGGCTAGTGGACGCCCGGAGGGACTTGTAACCAAGCCAAAAGATGGCGTACCTCCTGGCCTCACTGGAGGGGGAGACCCTGGGCGTCGTTGGCCATTTGAAATTTTCGGACGATGCCTACCAGGCAGCCCGGGACCTCCTCGCCGGAAGATACGCCAACGTCCGGAAAATTGCGGACGATTACGTTAGGCAGCTGCTAAACCGCCCGCTGCTTAGGGATCGGGCCAGACTACATCCGGACATCGTAAATCCAGTCGTGGTGGCCTGTAATTCGTTGAGGCGGCTGAATTTACCGGTGGACGAATGGTCCTTTTTGTTGCTCCACATCGTGCTGTCCCGCCTGCCTCTCGACCTTCGAATCCATTTTGAGAAGAGGTACGGCGGGGACGGTGCCTCCTATATTCCGCCCTTCAGGGACCTGCTGCGGTTCTTGGAGGAGCAGTGCCGGCAGATTGAGAACGCCGCAGGCACCGTCGACAACATACGGGTTGCGAACCGAGCCGTGCCCAGGGAGAGGCGGAATCCGCCGGGCAAGTCTTCGCCAACCCCCTTAAGGCCGAGCTGAGCTCCCGCGGGAGAGCGCTGCCCCTTACCATCCTATAGTAGCCTAGCGGCCAGGGAGGCGCCCCCCTGATCCTATTGTCGAGCATCCGATCACCGGGCGACATCGTGCCCTAAGTTGCTGTGTAAGCCGTTCCCGGCGAGGCGAACCATCGCCAAGGAGCATCTCCGTCGCGTTATTGGCGAAACTATTTTTACATTTGAGGAGCTTGCCACTGTATTCTGTAAAATTGAGGCGGTACTCAACTCTCGGCCCCTCTGTCCCCTCTCATCCAATCCGAATGATTTGGAGGTTCTAACCCCGGGCCACTTCCTGATTGGCCAGCCGCTTAACGCCCTGCCCGAGTACCTCTTCAGGGAAATAATCTCTTCGCGGTTGAGCAGATTTGACCTTCTGCAAAAGATGACTCAGAGTTTTTGGCACCGATGGTCTCTGAAGTACCTACATCTTTTGCAGCAGCGCGTTAAGTTGTCTGACAAGACGGATCCCCCTCGGGCAGGAGACCTCGTGTTAGTTAAAGAACCAACACTTTGCCTTTGTATTGGCGTCGTGGGCGCATTATTAACTTGTCGTATGGATCGAATGGGGTGCCCAGGGTGGCCGAGGTTTTGGTTGGAGATTCGGTCTTACAACGTGCCTTCGCGACCCTATCCCACTTGCCAATTTACTCGCGAACATAAGTCCTTATGCCCGGGACGGGGGGTTGTTCGCGCCAAATGATAATTTTATGAATTAACACTAGGGCGCGCTCGGCGGGCTGCATTCCGACCGGTTTGACGTTCGGCGAGACCGGAGCTGGTTGCGGGCGGGGCGCGTCGGAAGTTATTAATGCAGTGCAGTTACTAGAACAGCGTGGTCGCGCACCTTATAACCTCTAAATAGTTTTTTCTCGCTAGACTCGTAAGGTCGCTTTAAGATCACTTCTATTTCGAGTTATGTTGATTAGGCGGGGGGGGGGGGATTGTACCTCCAGCCATCTGCACTCACATAGCGCTACGCAGAGGTAAACCTCTACTTCACGCTGGCATTCTGTTAGGTCGTGGTACCGCCCCGGTTCGAAGCAAAAGCTGCCGCATGGCTCTACTACTGTTGTTCTTTTATTGTTGTGTTGGTCACCTGGACCAGATGCATTTTGTCTTAAAGTAGAAAAGCCCGCTGAGACCTGCACAAATCACACAATACTATCATGTGCTGCTAGATTATGGGACGTTATGGAATTTGTAGCGTCAGTGGTATTGTATGAACTTTTGATTAAACAACTTTGGTTGTATAAATGTGATTGGGATAACACTACCTGATGAAGTTGTTCGATCATAGCTACGCTTCAGGGAAAAACTCTCTTGATAAGACAAATTAAACTACCGCGTCTTTTAAATGTCACTAAAGGTAGCGTCGTCACTTTTGTTGGTGTCGCAGAAGCTAGCGAGAAAACTTACGGAGGCATTGTATATTTCCACGTCTGGAACGCTGGTGAGAGTTTGCTTAGCCTTATTAGCGCTAAATCCAAAGTTTCCCCTCGTAAAGTTGTGTCTCTCGCATACCTCGAGCTTTGCGCAATTTCGGTTCTTGCCAAGCTCATTACAACTATTGTTAATGCATGCAATCAATATCGAAAAGATATTGGCCTTTTCGGACTCAACAGTTGCTTTATGTTGGGTTCAATCTTCGCTCCATCGCTATGATAGTATTGTTGCGAAATGAGTAGCCATCACACAAAGAGAGTTGATATCGCAAAATTTATATTATGTGCCCGATGTAGAAAATTCTGCCACCTGTTTGTCGGGTGGACTTACTCCGGTGCAAATTATAGATCACCGACTTTGGTTTCATGGACCTTCTTGGATTCAGTTTTTTTTTTTTTTTTTTTATAGGATCGGGTGACAAACGAGCACACAGTCCACCTGATGGTAAGTGGTTCCTGTGACCCATAGACATCTACATCTATCCTCAATAAAGACTCAAGATGCAGATGCGTTGTCACCCGTGAGGA